AGTGGTACTAAGAGTAAGTGCAGTACATAAGCGATATGAGTGGTACTAATAGTAAGTGCGTTACTTAGCGATATGAAGGTTCTAAGGAGAAGTGCGTTACTTAGTGTTACATTGTAATGTGTTTATACTTGGTAGGCTTGTAGTGGGGTATTATTGGTAGCTGATATGGGGTACAACCCCAACTAGGGTTTCCTATTTGTACCCTTGCTTCTTTCAATCATTCTTGCCTAGTTCTCTTAACATGGTATTCAGAGCAGGAGGTCCCTAGGACCTATCGACCGTTTCTTTTAAGGGCCCACCACCGCTCGCATGCGGTTACCACGCTACCCCGTGCCCTAGCCTCGTAGCGCCCTCGTGCGTCCTCGTTAGCGCCCTCGCGCGCCCTCGTTAGCGCCCTCGCGCGCCCTCGTTAGCGCCCTCGCGCGCCCCTCGTTAGCGCCCTCGCGCGCCCTCACTAGCGCCCTCGAAGCGCCCCTCGTTAGCGCCCTCGCGCGCCCCTCGCAGCGTCGCCCGCCCGCCCGCTGCCCGCTTCGCAGCGTCGCCCGCTCGCTCGCTGCCGCTCGCAGCGTCGCCCTCCCGCCTCGCTGCCCGCTTGCAGCGTCGCCCGCCCGCCCGCTGCCCGCTTGCAGCGTCGCCCGCCCGCCCGCTGCCCGCTTCGCAGCCGCCCGCCGCGCTGCCCGCTCGCCGCGTCGCCCGCCCGCCCCGCTGCCCACTTTGCAGCCCGCCCGCCGCACTTCCTGCCTGTGCACCGCCGCTTGCTCCTGCTGTGGCTGCTAGCTTCGCTCTAGCGCGTCCCCTCTGCTGCTGCCGCTGCTCTGCTGTGCCTTCACGCCTGAGCCATGGCCTCTATTCGCGTTCTTTCCTTCGATGCTGAGGGCCGTCCCGTGCAGTTCACTTCCTGGCTCGACGACCTGCAGTTGTATCTTATGAGCAATAGCACGGACCACATCTCCCTCTATGACTACGCGTCTGGTGCTGCCGCTGCTCCTGCTGCCACAGCCGAGCTTAGTGTACGTTCACAGTGGCAGACTCGTGACGCTGCAGCTCGCCTGGCTATTCGCAGTCACCTGCCGTTAGCTGAGCTAGAGCACTTTGGCGACTGCAAAACCGCTAAAGCCCTATACGACGCTGTCGTTGCTCGCTACTCCTCACCTGCCACAGCCGAGCTTAGCCGTCTCATGCTGCCTTACCTGTTCCCTGACCTGTCCACCTTTGCTACAGTCGCCGATCTTATCACCCACCTTCGCACTAGTGATGCTCGCCTGCGTGCCGCCCTTCCCACCGAGTTCTGCGCTAAGAACCCCCCTCCCCTGTACTGGGCACTCCACTTCATAGTCACCCGTCTCCCTGACACCCTCAGCTCAGTGCGCGACTATTTCCTTGCTCGCTGTCCCACTGAGCTCACTGTCGCCCTCCTAGAGGAGAAGCTGCTAGCAGCCGAGAAGAGCATTGTAGCTGTAGGTGCTGCTCGCGGCGCTCCTCGCACCCCCATCTTTGAGGGGTGTTCTCCCTCTCCCCTCGCTCCCTCCTACGCTACTGCTGCTGCTGTTGACTTCCTTGGTGCTGAGTCTGCTGGCGCTGCTTCTGCTCCTGGTGGGAGGCGCCGCACCGGCAAGGGCAAGGGGGGCAAGGGTGGCGGGGGTGGCGCTGGGGGGGGAGGGGGTGGGGGAGGTGGGGGGGGAGGCGGTGCTGGAGGGAGCGGTGGCGGGAGTGCCGGTGGGAGTGGGGCCGGCGGCGGAGGCGGGGGCGGCGGCGGGAGCAGTGGCGGTGGTGGCAGCGGCGGCAGTGGCGGCGGTGGCGGTAGTGGCGGTGGCGGTGGCGGTGGTGGCGGTCGGAGCGGAGGTAGTGGCGGCGGTGGAGGTCGGAGTGGAGGCACCGGCTCGGGCCAGAGCTCCCAGCAGCAGCAGCGTCCCCAGTCGACCCAGCAGCTTCGTGAGTGGCTTGCTCAGCGTGGGACGTCGGGGGGCAGTGGCCGCTGTTCCTATGTCATTCGCACAGGTGATCGCAAGGGGCAGACGTGTGGAAAGTTCCACACTCAGTACCGCTGCTTCTTCCGCCTTGACGACGCTTGGCGTGAGGAGATGGGCGAGGATGTTGAGCGCCCTCGCTGGGCTGAGCTGATGAGGGCTGGTGTTGATATCTTTGCTCTTGACTATGATGCTATTATTGCTGCCATGTATGCATTGACTGTTAGTGCCGAGGGAGACTGTTACTTGTGTGTGCCGCCTGACCCAGGTATAGGGCCCGCTGCCCTAGGTACTAGTGAGTCTGCTCTCTCTGGTATGGTGCCCCCTGTACCTGCTCCCTCCAGCACTGTCCCTGCTGCTTGCGAGTCTGCTCTCTCAGGTACAGCACCCACAGAGACTGCTCTCTCAGGTACTGCACCGGCTGAGACCTGTCACACCTTCACCCTTGACTCAGGTGCTTCCCGCTGCTTCTTTCGAGACAGTACTGAGCTCACACCGCTTCCTGCACCGGTCCCAGTCTCCTTGGCTGACCCCTCTGGGGGCCCAGTCCTTGCCCAGTCCACCACTGTGCTCCCTTGTCCGGCGGTTCCGTCTGGCTCGTTGACGGGTTTCCACCTCCCCTCGTTCTCGACGAACCTGGTGAGCAACGCTGTCATCCAGGATCAGTGGGTTGACACCTTTACCCCTGGAGGACAGCGTGTGGCGATCTGCACGTGCTCCAGGACCGGCCATCACCTGGCTACGTTTACTCGTCGGCCGGGGTCGAGTCTCTACACACTGACCACTGCGTCTCCTCAGGTCGCTGCTGTTGGTCAGGTGTCCGCGTCAGGTCTGGTGGCCCACGCCTGTGAGTGTCGTTCCCTGTCGCACCAGACTCTTCTCTGGCACCACCGCCTGGGTCACCCCTCCTTGCCACGCCTCCGTGGCATGCACCGTCGCCGCCTTGTGTCTGGTCTTCCCAGGTCCCTCCCTCCTCTCCCTTCCTCGCCTGCGCCGCCTTGCCTTCCTTGTGTCGAGGGGCGGCAGCGCGCCGCTCCTCACTCCTCCTCGTTCCCCCCGACAGGGGCTCCTCTGCAGACCCTCCACCTGGACGTGTGGGGCCCAGCCCGCGTTCGTGGCCAGGGCGGTGAGCGGTACTTTTTGCTGGTTGTCGACGACTACTCGCGTTACACCACGGTCTTCCCCTTGCGCACCAAGGGTGAGGTCCCTGCTGTTCTGATCCCTTGGATCCGCACAGTTCGTCTCCAGCTCCGCCGCCGTTTCCGGACGGATCTTCCTGTCCTGCGTCTGCACTCTGACAGATGTGGTGAGTTTTCCTCCGATCTCCTGAGGACCTTCTGTCAGGCAGAGGGCATCGAGCAGACCTTCACGCTTCCGGACTCCCCACAGCAGAATGGGGTTGCTGAGCGCCGCATTGGCCTGGTCATGGAGATCGCTCGTACCTCCTTGGTCCACGCGGCGGCTCCCCATTTTCTGTGGCCGTTTGCTGTCCGGTACGCCGCGCATCAGCTCAACCTCTGGCCCCGTGTCTCCTTGCCGGAGACCTCGCCCACACTGCGTTGGACGGGGGAGGTTGGCGATGCGTCGCGCTTCCGGGTGTGGGGTGCTCGTGCCCTTGTCCGCGATACGTCCGCGGACAAGCTCTCCTCCCGCACGCTTCCCTGTGTCTTCCTTGGCTTTGTCCCTGACGCGCCGGGCTGGCAGTTTTACCACCCCACCTCGCGCCGGGTCTTCGCCTCTCAGGACGTCACCTTTGACGAGTCGGTCCCTTTTTACCGTCTCTTCCCCTACCGTACTGCCCCCCTCCCTCCCCCGCCGCTTTTCCTTGCTCCTGGTCCCCCTCCGGTAGACCCCCTTCCCCCTCAGGGTCCTGCTCCTTCAGGTGTCTCTCAGGTAGACCCTCCTCCCGTCGCTGAGCCTGTCGAGGTCACAGGTGACTCAGGTGCTGCTGCAGGTGGTGCTGCTGGGAGTGCTGAGCCTGCGGGTGCTGGGCCTGGGGGTGCTGGGACTACGGGTGCTGGAGCTGAGGGTACTGTGCCTGAGAGTTCGGCGCCTGGGGGTGCTGAGCCTGGGGGTGCTGCGACTGGGGGTGCTGAGCCGGCGTGTGCGGAGTCTGGGGGTGCTGAGTCTGGGGGTGCTGCGCCTGCGGGTACTGAGCCTGGGGGTGCTGCTACTGAGCCTACGGAGCCTCGGGTTACTGTGTCTGGGGGTGCTCCGGTTCGGGGTGCTGAGCAGTCTCTCACACCACAGCAGCTTCGTGACTGGTACGTCCGGCGCTTTCGCCGTCCTAGTGGCTCGGCTGGAGCTGGGGGTACTGGAGCTGCCGGGACTGGTTGTTCTGGGAGCACTACGACTGGAGCTGCTGGAGCTGGGGACTCTGGAGCTGGCGGCGCTAGCGGAGTTGTAGCTGCGGACCCTGGGGGTGGTGCTGCTGCTGGTGCTGCGGACCCACCTGGTGGAGCTGCTGCTGGAGCTGAGGACCCGAGCGGTGGCGCTGCTGCTGGTGCTGGGGACCCGGACGCTGGAGTCTCTTCTGCTTCTGGAGACGCTGCGCGGCCGCGGCCGTACTTCGTACCGCTCCTTCAGCAGGTTCTTGGGCAGGCTCCTCCTCCTTGTCCTCCTCCCTCCGTAGAGTGTCCTCCGACTGTCCAGCCGCAGTCACAGTTACCGCCTGCCTCGCCTCTCCCTGCTCCCTCTCCTTACACTGGTCCCACAGGAGGTCTTACAGAGCGTCGTGAGCCTGAGTCTCGTCCTGCGTCGCCTGTCCGTACTGCTCGCACTAGTCGTCGTGTCCGTCGTGAGCGTCCTCCTCCTGTCCCCGGCACTCACTACATGACTCTGCGTCCCTCTACTGCTCCTCAGCGTGTCCCTCTACCGTCTCCTCCTGCGTCCTCTTTACCTGACGTTCCGGACCCTGCGTCTGACCGGTATCGTGCTGAGCACCCTACTGTTGTCACTGACCCTACATTTGAGTCCTCGGCTGCGTCTGCTCTGGTCGCTGAGTTGGTTGACTTTGCTGCTGCCTGTCGTCTAGACTACGCTGCTAGCCTGGTTGCTGCGTCTGAGTCTGCGTCTGTCTGTCCTCCGTCCGTCGGGGGTGAGTGTGCTCTTGGCACGGACGTCCTTGAGGACAGGCAGGAGGACTTTGACTCTCTCGCGGCTGCTGTACCTCATCTCGTGGCCTGGTTGCTTGCCCCTGAGGGAGACCCGGATGCACTAGACATCCCCACTCCGCGCACTTACGCAGAGGCGATCTCGGGTCCCTACTCCTCTCAGTGGCAGACAGCCATGGACGCAGAGATGGCATCCTGGAAGTCCACAGGCACCTACGTCGACGACGTTCCCCCTCCTGGGGCGAACATCGTCGATGGCATGTGGATTTTTAGGGTGAAGCGGCCGCCAGGTTCTCCGCCTGTCTTCAAGGCTCGTTACGTTGCTAGAGGCTTCAGTCAGCGTCAGGGGGTTGACTTCTTCCAGACCTTCTCCCCCACCCCGAAGATGACCACTCTTCGGGTTCTGCTGCACGTTGCTGCTCAGCGTGACTACAAGCTTCACTCTCTTGACTTCAGCACAGCGTTCCTACAGGGCAGCCTGCACGAGGAGATCTGGCTGCGCCGTCCACCTGGCTTTACTGGGTCGTTTCCTCCTGGTACCCAGTGGAGCCTCCGCCGGCCAGTCTACGGTCTCCGCCAGGCGCCACGTGAGTGGCACGACACACTGAGGACTACACTTGCGGCTCTTGGGTTCGCGCCGTCTACTGCTGACCCGTCGCTGTTTCTGCGCACAGACACGTCGCTGCCGCCGTTCTACATTCTCGTGTACGTCGACGACTTGGTCTTTGCTACTGCTGACACTGAGGCACTCGCTCGTGTGAAGTCGGAGCTGCAGAAGAGACACACCTGCACTGACCTGGGTGAACTGCGTAGCTACCTTGGCTTGCAGATCACCCGGGACAGAGCTCGCCGCACCATCACCCTGACTAAGTCACACATGGTGCAGCAGGTCCTTCAGCGCTTCGGCTTCCAGTTCTCCTCACCACAGGCCACACCTCTGGCTACCAGCCACTCGCTCTCAGCTCCACCTTCGGACGAGTCCGTAGAGCCGAGTGGCCCGTACCCAGAGCTTGTAGGCTGCCTCATGTACCTGATGACTTGCACACGACCTGACCTCGCGTACCCTCTTAGCATCCTTGCTCGTTACGTTGCGCCTGGGAGACACAGGAGAGAGCACTGGGAGGCTGCTAAGAGGGTGCTGCGTTACTTGTGCAGTACATCAGGCATGGGGCTGGTGCTTGGAGGACACGACAGAGTTGTTCTCACTGGTCACTCGGACGCTTCTTGGGTGGACGACTTGGCTACGCAGCGGTCGTCGCAGGGTTACACCTTCAGCCTTGGCTCTGGTTCTGTCTCGTGGCGGTCCACCCGTTCTTCTTCTGTTCTCAGCTCTAGTTGTGAGGCTGAGATCTACGCCACGGCCATGGCTGCACAGGAGTTACGCTGGCTCACCTACCTGCTGACTGACTTGGGAGAGCGGCCTAGTTCTCCTCCAGTTCTGTACGGCGACAACAAGGCGGCCCTTGCCTTGTGTCAGGAGCACAGACTGGAGCACAGGACGAAGCACATTGCTCTTCGCTACTTTCTTGCTCGAGAGCTGCAGCAGCGAGGTCAGCTTCGGCTTGTGTACGTGGACTCGAAGGCCAACACTGCTGATATCTTCACCAAGGCGCTCCCGCCTAGTGATCATCAGCGGCACTGTACTTCTTTAGGCCTTGTGTCCACGTTTCCTCACTTGCTCACTGCTTGACATTCTTTGTACTGTACTTTATATATATCTTGTTGCTTGTCTTGTACTATATCTAGCACTGCATGTGAACTGGCCTTGTGGCCTTTGCTTGTGCTCGGAGTGTGGTGACTTTGTGATCCACCCTGGGCTTGCGTTGCTTTGCTGGACTGGTCTTGTGACCCTTTGTTCTCCCCCACTTTGCCTATGGGGGTGTGTTAAATTGTAATGTGTTATATGTTGGTAGGCTGTAGTGGGGTAGCTGATATGGGGTACAACCCCAACTAGGGTTTCCTATTTGTACCCTTGCTTCTTTCAATCCATCATTCTGCCTAGTTCTCTTAACACTTAGCAATATGAGTGGTACTAAGAGTAAGTGCGTTACTTAGCGATATGAGTGGTACTAAGAGTATGTGCATTACTTAGCGATATGAGTGGTACTAAGGGTAAGTGCATTACTTAGCGAAATGAGTGGTACTAAGAGTAAGAGCATTACAAAGCGATATGAGTGGTACTAAGAGTAAGTGCGTTACTTAGAGATATGAGTGGTACTAAGCTTAAGTGCATTACTTAGCAATATGAATGGTACTAAGAGTAAGTGCATTACTTTGCGATATGAGTGGTACTAAGAGTAAGTGCGTTTCTTAGCGATATGAGTGGTACTAAGGGTAAGTGCATTACTTAGCGATATGAGTGGTACAAGAGTAAGTGCAATACAAAGCGATATGAGTGGTACTAAGAGTAAGTGCGTTATTTAGCGATATGAGTAGTACTAAGAGTAAGTGCATTACTTAGGGATGTGAGTGGTACTAATAAAAATTGCATTACTTAGCGATATAAGTGGTACTAATAGTAAGCGCGTTACAAAGCGATATGAGTGGTACTAAGAGTAAGTGCATTACTTAGCGATATGAGTGGTACTAAGAGTAAGCGCGTTACAAAGCGATATGAGTGGTACTAAGAGTATTTCCATTACTTAGCGATATGAGTGATACTAAGAGTAAATGCGGTACTTAGCGTTATGAGTGGTACTAAGCTTAAGTGCATTACTTAGCAATATGAATGGTACTAAGAGTAAGTGCTTTTCTTAGCGATAGAGTGGTACTAAGAGTAAGTGCATTACTTTGCGATATGAGTGGTACTAAGAGTAAGTGCATTACAAAGTGATATGAGTGATACTAAGAGTAAGTGCGTTACTTAGCAATATGAGTGGTACTAAGAATAAGTGCGCTACTTAGCGATATGAGTGGTACTAAGAGTATGTGCACTACTTAGTGATATGAGTGGTACTAAGGGTAAGTGCATTACTTAGCGATATGAGTGGTACTAAGAGTAAGACCATTACAAAGCGATATGACTGGTACTAAGAGTAAGTGCATTACTTTGCGATATGAGTGGTACTAAGTGTAAGCGCATTACTTGGAGATATAAGTGATACTAAGAGTAAGTGCATTACTTAGGGATATGAGTGGTACTAAGAGTAAGTGTGTTTCTTAGCGATATGAGTGGTACTAAGAGTAAGTGCGTTATTTAGCGACATAAGTGGTACTAAAAGTAAGTGTTTTACAAAGCGATATGAATGGTACTAATAGTGAATGCATTACTTAGCGATATGAGTGGTACTAAGAGTAAGTGCATTACTTAGCGATATAAGTGGTACTAATAGTAAGCGCGTTACAAAGCGATATGGTTGGTACTAAGAGTAAGTGCATTACTTAGCGATATAAGGGTACTAAGAGTAAGCGGATTACTTAGCGATACAGGTGGTACTAAGAGTAAGCGCGTTACAAAGCGATATGAGTGGTACTAAGAGTAAGTGCATTACTTAGCGATATGAGTGGTACTAAGAGTAAATGCATTACTTAGCGATATGAGTGGTACTAAGAGTAAGTGCGTTACTTAGCGTTATGAGTGGTACTAAGAGTAAGTGCATTACTTAGCAATATGAATGGTACTAAGAGTAAGTGCGTTACTTAGCGATATGAGTGGTACTAAAAGTAAGTGCGTTACTTACCCATATGAATGGTACCAAGAGTAAGTGTATTAGTTAGAAATATGAGTGGTACTAAAATTAGGTGCGTTACCTAGCGAGATGAGTGGTACTAAGAGTAAGTGCGTTACTAAGCGATATGAGTGGTACTAAGAGTAAGTCCATTGTCAACGGGAGTGTTGTGTGGCCCCGTCCTCGCTTGGGCGGAGCAGACCCCGTGGTCGGTTGTGCGGGGGGATGCAGCCGACCTGCAGCAGTGGGCGTGGGGGGCCACTGCAAGGGCGTTGAGTTGAGGGGCGCCTGGCTGGAGGGCGCCGAGCAGGTGGACGCCGTCCTTGGCGTCTGGGCGGCGTCTTGGGCGTCTGCTCGGCGTCCTGGGCGCCTGGACGCCGTCCTGGGCGTCTGCTCGGCGTCCTGGGCGCCTGGACGCCGTCCTGGGCGTCTGCTCGGCGTCCTGGGCGCCTGGACGCCGTGCTAGGCGTCTGCTCGGCGTCCTGGGCGCCTGGACGCCAACTGGAGCTGCTTCTCGGCGTCCTGGGAGGTGGGACGCCGACCTGGGGGTCTGCTCGGCGTCCCAGGCGTCTGGACGTCGACTTGGGCGCCTGGACGGCGCCCTGGGCGAGTGGACGCCGACCGGGACGCCAGAACACCAACCTGGGGACGCCGGGCTTGGTGTAACCGGTGACCGACTGGGCTGAATGACCAGGCAAGGTTGCCTGGTCGACCGGGATATCCGGACGATGTGTGCGAAGGTCGCCGGGGGTGGTTTCTGCGAGGACGGCGTCGGGGGTGGTATCCCGAGGTCGACGTGGCTGATTGGCGCCGTCACGGGTGGGAGTGTCTGCGCTGGGGACATGACGGGGAGTTGGACGCCAACCAGCCGCGCACACCTGCGAAGCAGGTGCACCGTTGTCCTGCGGGTGCAGCGCTGTGCAGCCGACTTGCTGCAGCGCTGGCACACCGTGGACATGCAACGTTGGCGCGCCACGTCTCTGCAGCGCTGGAGCGGTGCGAGCATTGCTGCGCTGGAACGCGGTCGACCGTGCTGCGCTGGAAGTCGACCAGTAGCCTAGCTAGCTCTGATGTAGTCTGTGTTGCCAACGTTGTTGCTATCTTTCTGAACTTTCATTGTAATGTTTTCCTAGTGGAACTCTTGCCAATTCTCCCCGTGAACTTGCAAGCTGTGTGCGCACAAGGAAACGACTAAGTGAACGAACGCAGAGATCCCTCTCACACACGTGCCTTCACCGTAGTCAAGCTCCCGTTGCTAGAGTTATCTCCGCATGGTGCGGTGAGCGTGGACGACACCGCGACGTTACCTTCGGTGTAGCCGACTTTGCACTTACCTAGCTTGTTCGTAGGCCGGCGGCTGTGTTGGACGCCATGGTGGACCCCGTAGTTGAGGCGGGCGTCGTGGACACCTTGGAGGCACGGCTGGAGGATGCGAGGAGACGCCATGCGCTCGTGGTGGTCGTCGAGGCTGGCATCCGCGCTCTGTGGGCGGCGAAGCACCCTTCTTGACCAGCGTCTCCCCGACCGGTGAACAACGCAGGCGGCGTCGACGTGGGCGTCAACGCCGGTGACCAGGTCGGCAGCAGTGCGGGAGGCACGTCGAGGCAGAGAGGAGTGATACACGCCGACGAGGTCGGCGGCGTTCAGGCACGAGGAATGCAGTCGTCGGGGGCTGCAGGGGCCTCGCAGGCCTACGTCGGAGGCCGACAAAGTGGATTGGCGCCGATGTCGGCGACACACGTAACCGCGGGAGGGATTGCGCCGAGCTACGGCTACTTCAAATTTACGCCGGACAGGATCCAGGTCACCCCCCCGCTGGTCGGTCGACCGGACATTCTCACCTGGAAGGAGGCCATTGAGCCCCAGCTGGAGATGGCCGGGCTGATCGGCTTCGCCCGCGGCACCGTGGCGACGCCGGAGGAGATCTACCCCGACTTGCGTGCAGAGTTTCGCGCCGTGCAGCTGCTGACCTTCACGGTCATCTCACGGTGCTGCTCGCCAGGCGTGCAGATCGCCTTGAAGTGGTGCAGGGAGTACCTTGACGCCGGGCACCAGGCGTGGCACTTCATCGAGTCGACGTACCAGGTCACCGACGACCTGTACATCGGCCAGCTCGAGGAGCAGATGACACACCTGCGGATGGGCGAGCAGGAAACGGCGACGGAGTACTGTAACCGGGCACGGCGACTTCTCGCCACCATGAGGATGGCCGGCGTGCAGTACTCCACGGCGTCGTATGTCACGCACGTCCTAAAGGGGCTCCCGAGCAGCTACAACCTGCTGAAGCGGCTGTCGGTGGCGCCGAGCACGCGGGCAACATTCAACGAGGACTCCCTTACCTCATACTTCCTGCAGGACGAAGCGATGCAGGAGGCCGAGAAGTCCACAGAGCTCCTGCTGCAGGCGAACTACGCCGCCCCGGCGAAGCAAGGTAGCCGACCAGGGCATCGTGGCAAGCCTGGCAGCAGTGGTAGCGGAGGTGGGAAGCCGGCCAAGGACGCCGACAAGGGCAAGTCGGCGAAGGAAGGCGGTCGCGGAGGAGGAGGTCGGCGTCGGGAGTGCTGGATCTGCCGCAGCCCCGATCACCTCTCCTTTGAGTGTCCCGACCGCAGCGAATCCGACGACGACGACGACGCCAAGGGAGGTCGCGGGAGGTCGGCCAGCCGTCGTTCACGTGGAGGAAACCAACCGCGCAAGGAGAGGCAGTCGACCAAGACGTTGACCGCAGCGAAGGATGCCGACTCCTCTGCTGGCGGAACGAAAAGTGGGCGTCGTGACCTATGGTCGGCGTCGTGGAGCCGACCGTCTCACTGGCGCCGGAGGCCGGTGAGGATTTCCAGGCGTTGGCAGCAGCCGTGCAGGCGAACCCGGCGGTGGTCTTGCTGGACAGCGGCTGCTCGCACCACCTGATGGGGACGAAGGAGGTCTTCGTCGACATGCAGCCGAGCGGCGACGTGAAGCACGTGCGCGGCTTCAATGGGGCGCTGCAGGATGTTCACGGCCGTGGCACGGTTGCACTGCA